TTCCCATGGGTGCTGAGCAGCACCCATAGGTCCCAATGGATTAGCTGGAAGCCGTAGGTGACCAAGGCTTTGGAGAGCTCCACAGCTCAGCTGCACATCCAGGTCTTGCCATCCGTTCCCCTGTTGTTTCTCCTGCCGCCCACACCTTCTGCCATGCTTAACATGGCCCACAGCCCCCATAGCGCTGGCTCCAGAGCTGGCTGGAGGAGGAGGAGGAGGACAAGGAGGCCCCGTAGACAAGGGAGCCCTGCAGGCCCCTGGGGCGGCCCAGCCCCAGTGGAGACGAGGTGCCCACGAAGCTCTCCTGAGGGCAGGAGCTGAGGATGGGGCCCGGGAAGGTGATGACCACGGGTGGTGGGTAGACCACGGCACGGGAGTCCCCGCAGGAGGTGACGCAGGGCTGGCTCCAGGCGTTGGCGATGGGCGGCGGGCAGGCCATCTCGCAGGGTGGGGAGCAGCGGGAGCTGAGCTGCTGGCTGGAGAAGGACATCCTTCGGGCAGGGAGGTGAACCTGCAATACACCAGGGAGCCTGAGTCAACCCGCTGCTCACCAGCCGCCGCGCAGACAGCAGCAGGGAGGGCTCAGGACGTGCCACGCGGAGTTGCTCTGCTGCGGCTCGGGTGCTTTTTCTCCCTCTTCTCTTCCCCCTTCCTTGCCTTCCTCCCTCCCAGACAGCTCCTCTGCGCTCTCCCGGGCTCTGTGCACATGAAGTGCTGCTCAAGCTGGCCACCCCTAAAGTGACCTGTGACAAACAAGCTGGAGAACATTCGTCACCGTATTTTCCAGCAAAAGCCACTACATCTACCAAAGCATGTGAACGGAGTGCATTTTCAAGGAAAAAGAGGTATAAGCAAGAGCAGCAGGGTATTTCTGAAAGATTCAGTTAAACCTACTCAAGCACGATGCTCTAAGTCAGAAAGATTAAGCGGGGTCAAACTTACTCGAGACAGCAAAGAGGAGAAGCAAAGAGCAGCTGTCTGAGGCTGGCTGTGCTGTGAGCCCTTTTTATAGCGTTTCTTGCGCTGCCCGCTGGTCTATGACACCTCATGAATAAGAAGTTAATTAGCTCCCAAACACACAGATTACACATCACTCCTCAACTCCTCATTCATGCAAAAAGTTTCCTCGCTGTTAGCAAGAATTACTCAGCCCAGGTCTTCCTCAGTGTCTCCCCGGTTCTTCCTTCTTAGAGATCACTCAGCTGACTTCCCCCAGGTTTGCAGTATATCTATTACTTTTTTCTTATGGATACTGAAGCTTCTGTTTCAGAAGTTGTTCATATTAACTCTATGTTCATTTTAACTCTGGATATATTGTTACCTTCTTGGTAAATAAATAATAAAAAATTTAAAAATGTCATAAATAAATCTTGGACCACTATTAAATTTTCCATGGGAATATCAAGGAACACACAAGACTTTTAATCCCTTTCCTGTCTTGGTGCAGGTCAGTGTTGAGACACTGAATCACTGAGGACACTGCAAATACCCAAGCGAGGTGCGGCATTGCAACCATCTCCTGCAAGAATTAGGAGTTTCGCGTTCAGCTCCCTCTGATTTCAGCCCCCTCTGCTTCCAGCCTTGGCCCCTGGGTCAAGGTTCTCTCCTTGAGATCCTTGATTCTTCCTTGAGATCCAAGATTTCTTCCTTGAGAGACCCAAGGGTCTCTCCTTGGGAAGAAAAGAAAAGACACAGGGCTGGACCCCAACCTCGGGTGTCCCATAACACAGGATAAAGCATCCCACTCCCCTGTGTGGCTTTAAAGAATTGTTTTGCTCTATTCTATTCACATCCAATTAAAAAAAACCAAACCCCTCACTGTTTTAATAGTTATTGAAGGATTCTCCTTGCATCAGACAGAGGGTCATACTATCACCGCAGCCAGAAGGATGTGCTAGCCTCCATAAATAGGGGCCATGGTGCAAAGGCTTCAGAGGGGTACGGGAGGGAATGTGTAGTTGTGGTTTTCTGTTCAGAGGCAAAAGAAAACACAGAAGATCTGCAAGATTTCACAATACAAATCACCTCTATGCTTTAGTGTGCTGTATCAGACCTGCAGTGTGTAGCTGGGACAAGGACTAAGGCAGATGGAGTAAATCCCCCATCTTTATTCCAAGTATAAGCCCTACATTGCTTCAGCTCAATACCAGCAGGGATTTATAGAAGAAAATCAGCCCACAGCTCATTGCACTACTTACGATACTGAGGATCGATTGAAAAATACTGGCTATGTGGAACAATTGCGTAAATAAGGTATTGCCCAACATTTTTGTCACATCGGTAAAATCAGCAAGATGCTGCAGGAAGTGAAGCTGCTTCCAAAAGTTTAAGGAAGAAACAAGAGGGTGTTGGAAGAAATCGATAATTGTCCAAAGATGAATAAAACAATCACAGAAGGCTGGGGAGTGACGTGCACTGTTTTGTAACAAAAATAATCCTGAAAAACAAAGGATGTCTCAACCCCCCAGGCGATCCAGGAGATGGTATATAAGGGCTCCTGGCTCAGAAGACCTCAAATCATCGTTCCTCGCTTCTCCTCTTTGTTGGTCTGAGTAAGTCTAATCCCTTCATTATCTTTTTTTTCTTTAGGAACAGCGGGTTTCTGTTATTTTCAACCAACTCCTGCACACGCAGTCAGACCCGCAACGGTGTCAGTACCCAGCTTTGCGTGAAGACCTTTTTCCTGGATATTCTCGCTGGCAAACTGGGCAGCTGCAGGTCTGTCCGAGCCGCTCTGCAACTGCTACAAGAGGTCAGAGGGATGCCCCAAGATGGGGCTCAGTTGAGGTGCTTTTACTCTTGAGCTCAGGGTGAACTGACCGGTGCACCCGGGCACAGCTTCTCAGCTGGCCCAGGAGAGCGCAGAGGAGCTGTCTGGGAGGGAGGAAGGCAAGGAAGGGGGAAGAGAAGAGGGAGAAAAAGCACCCGAGCCGCAGCAGAGCAACTCCGCGTGGCACGTCCTGAGCCCTCCCTGCTGCTC